AAAAATTAGCCAGGCATGGTGGTGAGCACCTGTGGTCTCAGCTACTCAGGGGGCTGAGATGGGAGAATCACTTGAGCCCAGGAATTCAAAGCTCTGAGGAGCCATGATCACCCCACTGCACTCCAGCCTGGGTAACATAGCAAGACCCTGACTGAAAAAAAAATAGGCCATGGGAGGGAGCAGGCAATGTCATTCCTAGACACCTGGCTATCAGGGCCATGATACAAGGGCCTGCACGTCATGCTGGGGAATGCAGACGATCTCCCAGACAGAGGGTATAAGTTGAAGAGGAGCGACAAGATCAGATGCATACCATGAATCACTTGCTCTGGGCACTTGTTCTGGGCATAACTCATGATCTGGCCCCAAGACAGCAGATAGGTGACAGTGTCAGGATGCCAGGCTGAATTGTTTACCTCTCCTTCTGCCAAGAACGTTCCCAGAGCACCGGCCCCAGGTGCTCACCTCCTCCTTGGCGATGGTCATGCCATCCTGCACATCTCCAAACACAGTGGGCTGGATAAAGTAGCCACGGTCGGCAGCAACGCCCCCACCACACAGCAGCTTTGCCCCTTCTTGTTTCCCAGAATTGATGTAGCCAAGGATCTTCTTAAACTGAGTTTCATCCACCTGTGGGAGACGGAGGCCAGGGTTATGGAGACGTCAGATTCAGACCTCTCCTAGGCTTCAGGCTTAGAATTACGTAGGCAACCAGACAACTGGGAAATGGACCAAGGTCATGAGTAAGCAAGATTGGAAGAGGAAACACACAGGGCCATTATCAGAAAACACAAAAAAGGCCCAGCTTCCTCAGCTCATCAAAGAAATGCACATCACATCCATTTTTTACTTTTCAACTATTAGATTAGCACCGCCTCCCAGGCTCAAGCGATCCCCCCACCTCAGCCTCCCAAAAATAGCTGGGACTATAGCCACACACCACTATGCTGGGCTGATTTTTGTATTTTTAGTAGAGATGGGGTTTTGCCTTGTTGCCCAGGCTGGGGGAAGATTTTGTAAAGGCAAAAGATGGAAACAATTCTAAGTATAAATCAGCAGAGGGGTTGGTTAAAATTATTATGCAATATATTCTGTCATCACTAACAGATCTGTGAACTAACTGACAGAGGAAGATGGCCCAAAATATTCTGTAAAAAGAAGGAAAGACGGCCAAGTGCAGTGGCTTAAGCCTGTAATCCCGGCACTTTGGGAAGCTGAGGCCAGCGGATTACCTGAGGTCAGGAATTCGAGACCAGCCTGACTGACATGGAAAAACCTTATCTCTATTTATAAAAACAAACAAAAAATATTTAAATTAAAAAAAAAGAGGAAGGAAAGCTTGGGCTTGGCATGGTGTCTCACACCTGTAATCCCAGCACTTTGGGAGCCTGAGGCGGGTGGATCATGAGGTCAAGAGTTCAAGACCAACCCAGCCAACATGGTGAAACCCCATCTCTACTAAGAATATAAAAATTAGACAGATGTGGTGGTGCGTGACTACAGTCCCAGCTACTCGGGAGGCTGAGGCAGGAGAATCATCTGAACCCAGGAGATGGAGGTTGCAGTGAGCCAAGATTGTGTCACTGCACTCCAGCTACGGCAGTAGAGTGAGACTTCATCT